ATTCTTTACATAAATGCTATCTTTAAGTGCTACCAGGGATGAACATCAGCCATTAAATCCTTCCGAGCAGGAACAACCAGGAGGGTTAAACGGAGCCCCCATCAAACACAAACATGGAAGAAAATGGAAGAAGGCTTCTGTGCACGCTGCCTGCAGCATGGAGGGGAACAGAGCAAGGAGAACTTCTATAATTTACTGTGCTTCTCTGCCATAGGGAAAAAAGAATTAAAACACACAACCTAAACCAAAGCCCAGTAAAGCCTGTGGGAGGCTTTCTGTTATCTTCAAGTGTACTAGATCTGGTTGATAGATTTCTAAAATATAAAGCATCTCACATTGTTCAAGAGATTTTCCATGCAGTGGACACGTACAATGAAATCTTTTATTCTTTTTTTTCCCCAGATTTGGCCTTGAAAACATCCTAGAGCTGATTGTCGCCAAACTTTGGGCAGAGTTGGATTCTGAGCTGAACTTTGAGGATACAAGCCTTGTCTTTTCTTGTTTGCTGCAAGACATAATTTCTTTCTCATCTGCTCTTGGTTATCTGCAGGACAAAGGATTCTGTACCAGAAATAGAACTGCAGATGGAAATGGCCTATGAGGGTGATAACTCTTCTGTCTGTGCCATCAGAAGTGCTTGCTGCTTCTCTCCTGTATCCTGTAGTCCAAGAAGCGTGCGGAGAGTTACCTCTACACAGAGATGCTGCTAAGTGTGCCTTCTTGCTGAGAAAACAATTACAAGGCAGAATAACTTGTAAAAATGTTAAGATCTGCTTTTCAGGTAGTTACACATGAGCACACCAGCACGTTGGTGTATGTCCTTAGTTTGTTTGGTCATCTGTTATTTAGCTTCTTGAATGCATCTTTGTACCAAGCATCTACATGCAGGATTATGTGAGACAAGGGCCAGGATGACTGTGCAGATCGGTGCTGAGGGTGGCAGAGTGCCCCAAGGGAACTGTGATCGGAGACATGAATGCTTCAGAAAGGTGGAAGGGATCCTTACCAGTTCCACATGCAGAGAGAACCATGCAGGAGCCAAGAGAGCCAAGTCATCTCCTGTGGGAGACAGCTTGCTCCTGTTCACAAAGGAAACACCTTTGCTGGAGAGGGGTCATCCATGCTTCTTTCTCAGCAGTGTTTGATGGAGGCATTTGTTTTGTCCCCAGCCAAGCTCTCAGTTCAGGCCTTCGGACTCAGACTGCTGCAACCCTCAGGGAGTCCCAGCAGGGGAGCCAGAGCAAACCCCTGCGGCCAGAGGCCCAGGACTGGCAGCAGGCTGCTTTTTCCACCTCTTGAGCTGTCAGTTTTCTGACAGATTTTTTCCTTTCCCTAATGTTAGGGCTTCACTACAAATCTCACCTATTATATTGGGTGTTTCTAGGGGAGTGGGTGTGTAAGATACGGGGCAAGCAGGAGAAAGGTGACTTGCTATTAATTTAGGTTAACCTTATTATTTTTTCTAAGTTAGCGTGAGAGGTTCAAGAACAGAAAAGGGGTGAGGGAAAGAGGTGCCTTTGTCATCAGAGTGTGCATTTATGCAAGGTTTATGTGAAGTTTCTCTTGGTGGTTGATGTGATGACTGAGGCAAAGCTTCTGTTTCCAGCTGCTTGTCGCCTCTAACAACCTCAGGCTGCTGTGTTTTGTCCTGAGATTGCACTGGACACCTCCCAGTCTGTGTACAGCTGCGCACAGGACAGAGGAAGAACACCTGCACAAGCATTGTGTAATTCCATTAAATGCACATCTAGCTGATGTACTGTGACCAGTACAGTGGAGGCTGTGACCATTTGTGTTGCGGAGCTATTTTAATGTTTAATATCCTGAATTGTTTCGGTGAATAGACAAGGTGTGAGGTGATACTGTATGTGACAGAAGGGCAGGGCAAGTAACTCACCTTTTGGGCTTTTTCTGTTTGCTGTATTGTCAGTGGTGAGCAGATAGAGCTTTAGAGAACTGCAAATAGTCCGTGAAGCTAATACCCTTGGGCAGCTCATTTGCCTAGCACAGAGCATGTGAAATACTCAACTGGCATAATGCAGTACAAATATTTACTAAAATCAGTTTCTAGTGTTTACCTTGAGTGGGAGAGCACATCCTGAACAATTAATCTCTATTGTGCCTTGGTATGCAATGCCTCTACCAGAATCTGTTCAGCACAGTCCTGTCATCAAGCCATGGATGCACGTGTAGATGGTTTTAGACAGTAAACCAGTGAAAGTGTATCCTATTTTGTTGTGCTGAGCACAGGAGAAATAAAAGGTCTAACCAGGCCCAGGATCCTGCAATAAAAATGACTTGTTTAAACCTTTTATTTTTTTTTTAATGTGTTCAGCCCTAATCAGCTCAGAAAGGCACTTGAACTGTTTACTATGGCACTTTCAGCATCTTGCCTAAATAGCGAAGCTGACATTTTTGGCAAGTGCCAAAGCAGCAGCTGGTAGCCATGAATGTTTTTGCTGCACAGAAAAGCAGCAAGCTGTTTCTCATGGTACTCAAAGCTGTAGGCTCCTGAGCAGTACTGTCAAGGTCTCTCACAGGAAAAGTATTTGTGCTTTTGTGCCCCACACAAGGCTGTCAGTGCCATCATAGCTTTGGCGATATGCTGCTTCTGTCACCAGCAAATCCGTGTGTTCATGGAAACAAAGGACTGCCTCATGTGATCCCTGTTAGCGTGTTGTGTTGATAAAGTGGTCACATTCTGCTTTTCACCCACTCGTTTAAGCAGTTCTTCAGTTTCTTTGTTTCTTTGCAGTTGAGAGCGATGAGTTTAGAAGGATGCAGATGAAAATAGTGCATGGAAAGAAATTTTCAATGAGGTCACTTTGCTTTTCCACCAGATGAGGAAGAGGTTAAGGACAAGCATTCAGGCTTGCTGAGAATGCGGATCTCTAGTAAAAGGTAGAGATTCTCAAACATTCACCTGAGAGTTTATACCAGGAATGTCATAATGTTTTTCAAATACATTATTTTCCAACTAGTTTGTTTTTCTTTTTCTTTTTTTTTTTTCCCCCACAGTTCACTTGATGAAAAAAAAAAAAAAAAGTCTGTTTACGGGGAGGATTTTCTTTTGTTAAAAGTATTTACACTGCTATAAAGAGCATAGCAATATTAAAATGTCATTTTTCTCATCCTGATTTCATTTTCTATCTGCTTTGCCCTGATGTGAATGACTGTTCAATGGTTAGGACAATGGAAACTGGCTCTATTTGTGTGTTGTGTGCTTTTAAAAATTCCCTGTATGTGGGCTCACCTGCCCATATGGAAGTTCGTCAAGTGCTCATAGAAAATAGCTAGGTTTGAGCTCCTTTGCTGTCTGAATTCTTACTCTTCTATTTAGTAGTTGGTTTATACACTTTATACACCTAAAATACTTAATTTTGCCATCGACATGATTAATATTTCAGAGGACATGGGAACAATTGATGCTTTTTGCAATTGCACTGTTGAGGTCTGCCTTTCCACCTTAGCAAGAAGTCCACTGCAGCACATCAGCAAGTCAAAGCCTCCAGAGATGTTCAGGCTACTCTGAGTGGCACGCTGACTGCCACTTAATATTGTCTCAGGGTACCTGGGGTCTTTTGTCATGGAATTGCTATGCCCAGACTCCAGAGGAGGGTATCCTAAGGGAAGAAAGAGACCTGTAGGTTGAGGAGGCTCTGCAAATGAAGTTGAGATTAAAGGGAATCAACATCTTGCCGTACTTCTCTGAATCTCATAGAAGAAGTCACCATTCCACTGGCTGTCCTGTGTTGTGGTATATTCTTGAACATATTCTTTTTTTTAATATATATATTATTTTCCCAGAAGTATTTGAGTATATGTATAGATAAATTCTATCAGAATAACATGACGATACAGGTATGTTTAATTGTTCCTTCACACGTGTCTGTTTGTCATTACAAAGCTGAAAAGACACAGCTGCAGAATGGAACAAAAAAAAAAATGTAATCTGCTTGAGGTGGACGGGAAGCACCATTCATGAAAACTTTTCTGGTTAAATTAGAGCTGGTAACTGGTAACTGCAAAGTCTTTGTTTAAAAAAAAGGAAAAGAAAAAGAAGAGGAGAAAAAAGAGAGGTAGTTACAAGCCTCCTGCAGAGTGGGCAGAGGGGAGATAACTACAGGATTTCCAAATCTCTTACTGATCAATGACAGTGAAAGGAGGTGAAAGATGTGGAAATCTTTCTGCTGCCCTGACAGGGTCTGCCATGTCCTGGCAGAAGCCTGCAAGGGACTGGTGATGCTGCACAAAGGCATTTGCAAACCACCTCGAATACTTTTTTTGCTCCTGAAGTATGCAATTTAAAAATGCAACTTCTTCTATACCCAACTGCTGCATAACAGCACAGAATTTGTATGCTGTCAGGAGAATCTGAACAGTTAACGTATGGACTAATTAGAAGGGATCTGTGATATAATGAACTTCTGAGGAGGTCACGGCTGGAAAACAGCAAGAAATACAAGTTTTTTCTTCTTTGTCTGGGAGCCATTATCTATTTTAGTTCCTCTTTATTGAAATATGAATCATGTGAGTCCTACCTTTGATTTATTTTTTTATCTGTGCTTTGTTGACTTCATAGGTTATACAAAACACAGCAGAGGGGAGCCGTGAGACTATATATCAAGCATTATAGTGCATTAGAGTAATCACTTTTCCCTCGAACACATTAGATGTTGTCATCAAGTTTTATGAGTAAAGGTGTTATTTTTCTCAGAATCTCCTAAAACTATTCATCTTAATTAGCAGTAATATAATCTTCTTCATAAAGTTAGAAAACATTTTATTACAAAGAAATTTTGTGGTAAATGTACCCACGTAATATTTCTAAACAAACTGATAGGAAACTTTTTTTTTTTACAGCTCAGAAAGCTTTGTGCATTAAAAAAAAATAAAAAATAAAATTAAAAAAAAAAATTGCAACTAGTGTAGTAGAGTTAAAAGTCATGGTACTTTCCCCTGAAGGAACAAGGTGGTGAGCTCTGGTTTGTAACTCACAGGATAACTGCTCCCAGCACTTCTGATGCCCCTCCACCTTCTGGGCTGTAACCGCTGATGCTGTGGCAGTGTCCCGGGTACGTGACTAGTAGTTGTTCTTTGTTCTCCTTGCTGTGATGTGACATGTTTTCCTACAGTCCCGTGTGAAACTGTAAGTACTTTTTGTCTTTTGACCCTGATCCAAAAAAGCTTTTTAATCGGGGGTCAGACTCCCACTGACCTCAGCAAATGCAAAATGGATTGTGTTATAGAATGCCACATTTTGAAAAGAAAAACAATACAAAGAGATAATCCAGCTGTCGATGGCCAACACTATGAACAAATTTCTTAAAGATGAGCTCAGCCGCCATCCACCAAACTTACAAGGTGAAAGAAAATATGGGCTAAATAGTGCTCGTTCTCTGAGCCACGCATGATGGTAAGCCAGGACACCGAGTCACAAGTGGCAGCTCCCCAGCAAGCTGGCGCTGGTGTTGAGAACATTGTTCCACACAGTGTTATTTCTAGTCCCAGTGTTTTGCTCCCTTTTCTTTTTTTTTAAAGGGGTTGATGAATAGAAGACCCTGAATGAAGTGGTTCAGCATTTGTTTTCTGATGTGGCAAACAACAAACGTTGCACTGTCGTAGCTGTGTTCAAGGCCTCCTTATTCATCAGCAGCCTTAAACTAGCTGTGTCCTGTCATTATGAAACACTATAGATATTTTTTTTCATCAGTCACAAAGTGGAATTTGACAAGAGAAGTGCTTGGAGAACAAGCATTAAGAGACATCTTGTACATTTGAATAGGGCATTTATAGATTATTTTTATCATTGGGCCAAAAAGCTTACCCTTTAAAAATTCTGAGTGCTATTCCCAACAGCAGCGTTACCCTTGCAAGATTTGCCTTCAGCTGAGCGTAACCCCTTCACCCCTAACTTCTTTCTGGCCCCAGTGCTGGGTGCTGTGTGGCTTCTTACATTTAAAAAAAATAGACATCCTACGGTGCTGATCTCTGAGGACAAGGAGCCAGTTCAGCACTGTGGGACCCCAGATTGTCCCACCCTGCCCTGGCTGCTCCCAGGCAGGAGTCAGCAGAAGCAGGGCTCTGAGCTGGCTCTCTTTCACCTATCGTGTCCCCTGAGCAGTAGCTCCCACGCAGCACGGCTCTGGCTATGCACAGCTGCTTCACAGTCCTCTGAGCACCCTGCACTTCCACGTGCTGTTTAACTGGTGATCCAGTTGAACTAGCATGTTTTTACCTGTGTTTTGCCATTTTACCGTGTGAAAAGATGATGAGTTACCCTCTCAGAGGGTCATGCATATAGAGCTATTTTCCCCCACTAACTTACTGTTTTCCAGTGTTAGATTAAATATGTGCATTTGAGTGTCAAAATACGTACCTCAAGTTCTGTTAAAGTGAGAAGATGTGGTGTGTTTGTACAGTAAAGCTTCATAGCTTTGTGCAGGTGGTGATTACTCCATATGGAGCCTGGGCGAGAGAGGTTACAGTAAATGCTGGCATTTATGGGGAAGCTGGTTGTCCATTATGTCACTCAGTCCAACAGCTTCATCTGAAATTTGTTGCCCTTTGCTTATAGACTGATCCTGATATTTGAAACACAATGAGTACTGTACTGCTCAGGTGTCCAGAATTTGAAACAAAATCCATTATAACTGCATTAGGCAGGGGGCTTTACGGTCATGGGGCACCAATGATAGTGGCAAGGGAAAGCATCAGGAACTTTCAGCTAATGTTTGTTCGCAGACATTTCTACACAGTCTTAAAATAACAGTAATTGGTGCAGAAAAAGCAGGTACAGCATGATCTCTGCCACTACAGGAAAGTAACTGCACAGATAGATATATAGATATGTAATGTCAGGAATAGTGAAAATGAGATGTGATACAAAAATGCAAGTCATACTTTTAGATGGAAGATGGTTGGTTTTGCTGCACTGGCTTCTAATGGCAATTTCTTCACAGGATGCTTCGGAAGTGATGGATTGAGGCACACACGTAATGACCTGTTCCAGTCAGAAACTGAGACAGCCTCAAAAGGAGTTGCCAACCAGATCTATAGAGTGAGACATGTGAGTGTATACAAGAACAGCGCTAGCACATTTTGCATGTCTGTCTTCCTGCCAAAACAAGAACAAAAAGTCAGGACTGCACATTTTGGAGGATTAATCATCTGAGATTTTTCTTTAATTTATTACCAACAAAAAAAATGTTCACTTTGTTTCTATTTTACAGGGAAACCCACATAACCTTTAAAAGGTATAAATAAAACTAAGTCCACATAGGCTGTGGGTCTGTGCAGCAGCTGTTCACATTATGCTATATTTTATCTGCATATATTTAATCTTTTTTTTCTTTTTTTTTTTTTTTCCTGAGCAACTGTCTCAATCTATCAAAATATTTGTAAATTGATTCAGTTTCTGGTGAAATTTGCTCTCACTAGCACAACAGAGAGATAGGGAAGACTTATGCCCAGTGGGAAGGAAAATAAAAAACAAAACAAAACAAAATTGTTTCCATTCCAGGTCGAACAGCTCAGTCCTAAGGCATTTGCCATGAAGACTGTGTGAGCCAGTACTCTCACTTAGCAGCTACCTCATTTCTGGGAGATGTTTCATTTCATCAGACAGCTTTCTCCACAACTGAACAAGCACAAACAAAATGGTAGGTGATGAAGGACAGTTGTGCATTTCAGCAGAGGAGGAATTCACTTAGGGGATATTCGAGGACTGTTCCTGTTTTAACTCCTAACTTACCATGTCCTTATCTTGTTTTCTTCCTCTGTGTAATGGGTTAATGCTTCATTCCTGTATTTTGGAAACTTTCTGTAGTCAGAGGGTGTCTGGGGGGCAGCTGTGTGACAATTTACTACCATAATGAAACAGGTAGGCTGGTAACCACATCCCATCACTTATCCAGCAAATTGTGTCTGCATTAGTCCAGCCTCCTTGTAATTGACCCTGAGCTGACAGGTATGGGAGGAAGACCACTTAAGCCTTCCAAATCCATCACTGCCTTTCTCGTGAGATAACACAGATCCCTGTGATAGACTCATCACGCAGGGAGGAGTGACGTTAAGTCCTGAGAAAATGGCAGTGAGGGCAGATACCATCATGACACATAACCACTCTTCAGAGCTATCCTGGAGGAAATAAGTTTGTTAAAATCTTGGGATGTGGGATTGTTTTCAGGGATGAAAGCATGCAAACATGCAGATATAGCAGCATTGCCCACCAATACGCTCACACAGGCTTGTCTATCTTCAGCTTCTGTGCCTGCAGTCATATGAAAGCTGTACACCTGAAGTTATAGAAATCCACATGCTTTGATTGCACCCTGAATAAAATAAGCCTTGCAGCTCAGATCAATATATTGAACTTTAACTCTGCCTATAAAACAGAAAATCCAGATGTCAAGTCTATTTTTAAACTGTAGCAACAAAAGTGAGTTTGATGTGCTTGATAAAGCAAGTTTTCAGTGTGTGCCGCGCTACCTGAGGCCTCACAGAAGGGTTTGCAGGGTGAAGGAGCTGGCTGGGCTAGTTGTGTAACTCGGTGGATGTTTCAGCCCGGGCAGGAGCTGCTGGTAGGGTGACCGGAGCAAAGAATCATTGCTTTATGCACAGGCAGTACCAAGCATTGACTGCTCTGTACGTTTGTCATTATTTTGGGCTCATTCTTCATCCTAAATTAGGTTGCAGGTAAGCCACAAGCTTGTTACAAAGCAGAACGGTAGGCAACCACCCTGACTCAGCTGAAACTGGTGTGTGTGTGTGCCAGCTGGGCCCACTGATGCTCCTGTTGTGCCCAACTGTAGTTTAAGGAAGGCACTGGGGAGGTAGTGCTGCCAAGCAGGCACTGCTCTCTGCTGGCAGATGGGCAAGGACTTTCCCAGTGCCTCTGCTCTGAGACCAAGGCCTACAGTCACATTAATTTTGCTTTGACCACTGATGGGAAGAAGTGGGGGAAGCACTCTCGAAGCACTTGTTTCAGCTGCAAGCCAAGGCCCTACCACCACCTAGCTGAGATAAACGCCCCCCTGCATTTCCCAGACTTTTGTCCTGCCACATGTGACCTAGGCTAGAAAATGCACATTTCTTCAGATATGATTTTTCTTGCCATCAGGATTCCTTGTTGTGTTCCTACAGCTCCCAGGAATGTTAAAATCTCATGCAATTGATGCCAGAACCATGCAGTCTGTTGATGTCAGAGCTGTGTGCGGGGACTTCAGTATAGGCGAGAATCATACCGCTGATTATTTCACTGATGGCTCCTTTGACATTCTGGACTTCATCTATACTGGTTAAGTGGCCAGATGTCCTGAAGTTGTTGCATACAGCTGGACAATAAACTGTCTGCTACAGAGAAATGGCAAAGGCCTCCCTGCTTTATTAGGATAAAACTGGCAGTTTTATTGGCTGGCTTTTTGCCTTGATCATATTTACAGTGTTAGAGTCGACCTATTTAAATCATCTCAGTAGTGAGCTGGATACTCTGTAAAAGCAGTTCTGGTTCCAGCCTGAAGAATAGGTAGCTGTTTAATAGAAACAGAGGAATAATTATTTTTCATATTAAAATGTGGGTATATGACAGTTCATCGCAGCAGCTGACAGCTTGTTTTGCTGCAGGCAAAATACATCTTTGATAAGGTACATTGCCAACATGAACCCAGCTAGTTTGAGAAACACACACCAGCAAATCAGTGGTTTTGCTACCTGTGTACGAGATGTGGTTTTGTGTGTTAATACATGAAAGAACCTACTACAGGTGTTGTTATAAACAGAAGTTAAATCAAAACACGACAAGGCCAGGAGCAAGCATCAGCCTGCATCAAACGACTCAGAGAGCTGATAAATGAAGGATCCCCGTGGCCCTGACTGCAGGGCTGGTTCTCAGGCTGTGGTCTGTGGGACACTGCTGCTCTGGAAGACATCAGAAGGTTTTCTGTCAAACAGCTGTGAAGGGAAGAAACCCCCTTTTCCAAAAAGCCTACACACGGTCCCACAAGTTGCAAGTGTGGTGCGTGCATGGGGTCATGGCTGGATGTATCGGGGGTGCTGCTGGGGCACAGCGCGGCAGCCGCAGCGCACACATCACGGGGAGCTCCTGGTGGCGGTTGGGATTGTTTGTTTTTTTTCCTTTATTGGTTTGATTCTTTCCCACTACTGCAGAGAAAGTCGGGGTTTCACAAGTGTGGCGTGGGGAAATTGCACGTGAATATTGCTGAGCCGGGAGAGCGGCGGGAGCTCCGCGGGGCAGGGCAGGGCAGGGCAGGGCAGGGCAGGGCAGGCTGTGCCGGCCCGGGGGAACCCACGGGGAACCCACGGGGAACCCACGGGGACCCCACAGGGACCCCCCAGCGCCGTGGGGCGGGCTGCCCTTGCTGTGGGTGCCGGCAGGCCGCGGGGACCCGCAGCGCAGCCGGGCTGCTGTGCCGCGCAGGGCCAGCAGGTGGCGATGGAGCTGCACCACGGCACGGCCCGGCCGGCCCGGCCCGGCTCGGCTCGGCTCGGCTCGGCTCGGCTCGGAGCCCGGCTTGCGGCGCTCCCAAGGCTGCGCGGTGTGCGGGAGGAGCAGAGCGGGGCTCTTTTTCCCCGGTTATTGCAGTTAGGGAGAAGCAAGTGGTAAATATGGATAAATTCTAGTCGTGAAGGCGCAAACAGCCCGGGCTTTAAGTCTTGTGGTCGCAGCAGCGTTGTAGGAGCTAAGGAACACTCGGGGCCAGACAAGGGAGAGGAGCCTGGTTTAGCAGTCCTGCCTGAGCCCTTGGCTGAAAGAGATTTTCTGAAAGCAGTGCAAACATTTGCTAGCCGAAGTTATGAAAACCTCTTCAAAGCTTTGGAGCAAACGGTGCTGTAAGTGCCCTTTGCCAGTTTAAAGTTTGATTTAGAAAGTTCTTTTCATACAGTTCGTGAGAGAAAGCTCTACATCCATGAAAGCTTGCTGGATGCGTTACCAGCTCTGTGCAAAGGTGAGGGCAGACCCACAACTGTCTCCATCCTCACCTGCCTGGGAGAGTGCTGGAGATGCACTTAAACATGCGTGATGACGGGCAGAGCTAAAGCAGAATATAACTCAAATAGTTTCGGAAGAGAAGACAAGGTTGTAAAGAAACAGCGTATTGGGACATATCTGGGTACTCAGCAACTAAAGAAATGTTTTGCAAAGTTTATTTTTTGTTGTTATTGTTGTTGTTGATTTTGTTTTTTAAGTTTAGGAAACTAGAGGAAGTATGCCAGCAAGTTAAATGGGCTGATATGGATGGGCACAATGCAGCTTATTTCAGATTCTCTCTGCTGCATTGGAAATCCATCCTGATCCAATCATATCGGTCCATTATCTCATCCTACCTATTAGGCTTGCACAACCAACCCCTTAACTGATGTCAGTTGTTATACCTCAACTGATTTCAGCAAGCAATGCCAGCATATATAGGCAGTCTTTCCCTATACACCCCCTTCCATCCCTGCCAACCCCTTGACCCTTCCCGGGAAGCCCTCCTTTGTTCAGCCAGTTCTTGTCTTACAGTGGTTTAACACCCTCTTTGGTCTCATGAAGTGCACACTGTTCTTAGCCTTGGAGGTTGCTTTCAAATAGTCAGCCTTCTAGTTATTTCTTTAAGACCTCTTGCTGGTATTTTCTTCTGCTTAGGTACTTGAGCATCTCTCTGTTTCAGTTGTCTATATTGTAGTAGGTGACCTAAAAGGAATACAGCAATTTATAAATAAGCACTGTGTTATTTCTTTGCTGCCTACAGCATGTTGCTGAAGGGGCTCACATAAAAATCAGAGATTCTAATGATCATGTCATTATTTTTCATTCTGGCTTCGATAAATATTTGTTTAGCAGCCACAAACTTCTTTGAACATACTAGACCTTTCAGTTAGGAGCATGATGTGTGCCACTACTTGTCTGCATGTCACAGGTGCTATATTTTTGAGTGGGAATAAAAGAGGTCTCATGATTCAGCTACTTAAGTATTGACATTAACCAGGTTTTCAGAAATGATTTTCTGCTATTTGGACGCCTCAGTGAGAAAATTACCAGTCCCTAAAATGTGGCTGAAAATACAGGGGACCACTGAGTTCTTCTTTGGTGATTTAGGGATTTCACAATGGTATTTACTCTTTCAAAAATTCTGGACCCAAGTGGATTTGTAGTGTTTTCTATGTAAAAGTCAATAGCCGCTGCTAAGTAAAAGAAAACTCTGTAAACTGGTGTCTCTGGGGAACTGCAAAGAATGAATGTGTTAACTGTCTAAGCTGCTATGCATTAGCATGAATCCGTGGGTTAAATCATTATTTGTAATTTGAGGTTTCCTGAAAACCTTCTGAAGAGAGACCAGGAAGAAGCTGCACAATTATTTTTTGTTTTGCCTAATGAGTCTGGCAAAGTAGAAGGTCACCTCAAAGTAGAATTTTTCGAAGATACCAACATCTCCTCATCCTAAAGTGTGTGTCTGATAAAATGGCTGGAGCTCAAGATGTGTGTACTTCACTAATTGAAGGTCGTATTTGCATGAATTGGTCTAACCTTAGCTGATAGCTACCATTTCAATTCAACATCACTTTTCTTACAAGGCAGAGAGATGCATTTCCTACAAGAGATACTTTTCATAATACAGTCTCATCAAATCTAACATAGAACGGTAAATTCACATCTATGAATAATTTAATCTTCCCCATTTTAAACAAATAGAATGAACAACTAAATAGAAATAAAATCCATATACAGTAGTGAAAATGTAATAGTGTGTGTGTATATGAAACATCACATACCACTTTGTACAATGAGTTAAGGATTTGTTGATCTTAGGCAATAAAGAATCAATTCGATTATAATGCGTAGCCTCAGTGAGGGTTTCCAGGATCTTAGAAATTAATGCAGTGTTCATGAATATGGAAGAGGTTTCCTTGTGGGATTCAGAAATGAGGTGACAGTGCAGCAGCTGGCCAACAGGTCTGTGTGACTTTTGGATCAAGGGTATAAATATCATCCATTGCTGCAAGCACAAGTTAAAGATGAGGCTTATACAATTATTTGTTAAGTTGGTTCTGGTGAGAGGAAAAAAAACAAAAACAACAAACAAACAAACAAAAACCAACTGTTGACTCAATCCAGAAACACAATAAGCAAAAACTTTTATTCTTTAGGTTACATTGCAGGCAGAGGTATATTCCTTTGAAGCTTCTGGTGCTGGTCAATGTCAGAAGCAGGATACTTGCCTCAATGATCCGTTGCTCCTACCGAGTTTAGTAGTTTCTTCTGAACATAAAACTAGCACTTAGAAGGTACGTAGGTCTTTCTCAATTTATTGTACTATTGAGAAGTGCTCTGAGAAGAGATGTGACTCAAGTTCACAACATTTTCAGATTCTATTCAAGCAGTAAGAATTTTTAGTGCATTTTTAGAATATTTGGAGCTAATGGGAAACAAAATATTTTGAAATTAATCTCAGCTGATAAAATAATGATCCTAAATCAAAGTTCTCTGTAAATGTGCAAATGCCTTCCAGCATAATTGCTTACAGTTGCTGTCTAGAAATTACAGATAGCTATCACCACAGAGGAGCAGTTACCAGGTGTGAAAATGAGTTTGTGTATAAAATAGCTCTGGCAGGCCCCCAAACTAAAACCACCTGATTTCATGGAGCTCTATTTAGTCCTACTCCACCAGAGACCGCCATCTGAAAGTTGTC